GTTTTTATATTCTCTTACTTGGTGTATATTTTTAAGTGACTGTTCTTTCATCCACAGAGAAAAGCAAAATGTAAACTAGATAGGTAGGCTTATGAAAAAATAAAAAGTTATATGAAACCTAGACATTTAAAATATACCAAAAAACCCAGAAAAAAATAGAAAGACTGCATATCTTACTATAGAGAATAGAAAACCAAAAAGACCTTGTAAATAAAAAGTAATGCCAATATGGTAAGATTGGCCTTTTTACAAAGCTAAATGACACAGTTACCTTTACATAAGGCATTTTAAATCACTACCATTGTTTCCCCCTCCCCCCTCTCCTCTGTTTAGGACAGTAACTCTAAGCCAACAACCTTGGCACCAGTCATTCTGGAAGAGATTGTTGAAGCTCACAAAGAAAAGGTTAAGGAAGTGATCATGAGAGAGAGCGCAGCCCCCATCGAGCACCTCAAACTCTACGACAAGTACGACTTCTTGATCACCAGGAAAGCCGAGAAAGACGTGGACGCGTTCCTTGCAGAAAACCATCATTATGAGAAAATAATACAAGAAATTCGCAAATACCAACAACTTATAGAGGACATACAGTACACAACGAGAAAGGTAGGTGACCCACGCTGTACAGCTCTTCTCTGTACCTGGTGGGGTTTTCCCAGGGATACCAGAACGTGTTTTCAGGCCATCCCGTGAAAGATTAGACCATGACCATCAAAAGGAAAAATGCCGATGGAGCCTTTCCCTGTAGCAAGCATTGTGGGAAACCCAGGACACACGGAGCTGGACAAAACAGACGCGGTTCTTGTGCTATTAGAGTTGAACGTCTACTACAGCTCTAACTTTTTAAGCACTTTCGTTTGACCCCTCAGCACTTCCCAGAACTTACTTTTTTTTTTTTGGTTAATCCTCACCTGAGGATATTTTTCCATTGATTTTTAGAGAGAGTGGAAGAGAGAGGGAAAGACAGAGAGAAACATCGATGTGAGAGAAACACATAGATTGTTTGCCTTCTGCCCCAGCCCCAACCAGAGCCCAGGCTGGGGAGGAGCCTGCAACCGAGGCTGGAATCGAACCCGGGACCCTTTGGTCTGCAGGCCGATGCTCAATCCACTGAGCCAAATTGGCTAGGGCAGAACTTAATTTTTTTACTTTAGTGTTTATAACTCCTTTGGAAAATATGGTAATTTCACCAAAATATGGTTACTTCTGTTTAGTAGGAGACTGGTAAATTAAAATTTCCTCTCTTTTTTGATATTTTCTATGCAAAAACCTGCCTACATGACATGAAAAAAAACCACCCTCAATGTTATTAGATTAATGTTTAACACAAAATTAATGTTTTTAGAAAGGCAAAATTGTAAGAACCTTTTATTTTTATCATGTTTACTAAACTTCTAATACTTGACGTTGTAGACTGTTCGCTTAGGAATGTTTGAAATGCGCTGTGAGGACTTAATTAGAGCTTTGGTGAAGCGAGCAGAGGTTATTTGTGGAAAACTTGTAGCTAAAATGTTCAGAGATCATCAAGAAATAAATACAAGGTATTTATGTGACATTAAATTCTTATTTGGGGGGATGATGTGAAGTAGAATCAACTGTCATTCAACTACATAAAGGGCTTAGAATAGTGTCATAAGTGACCCAAAAGAAAAGATAATGTGAACTTATTTCTATTCGGCTTTTTGTGTTACTTAGTGATTATTAGTATTTTTTCACCACAAGCGCCTTTGCAATTTTTTAAATTAAAGTGGCATGAAGAGGCTGTGCATCTCACTGGCATGAGCCAGGTGGGCGTTATCTGAGCTCATGTTTCTAAAGTTGCGTAATCAATACACAAAGTGAGTTTTCAAAGTGGATTCACGCGGTCGTTGTCCTGGGTCCTTAGGGACCCTCGCATCTGGAACTTGATCGCGCTGTCATTACTCTTCAAGTCCATGGTAACTTTTCGTCTTAACGAGAAACTCATTGGTTGACGAACCTAGAGATTTTTAGGAAACTTGACCTATGCTAAGTGACCTCACAGAACGCTAAAGCAGAATGCCTGTTTATTTACTAGGGATGGCGAACCTGTGACACGCGTGTCAGAGGTGACACGTGGACTCATTTTTTTGGTTGTGCCATCACTGATTTAGGCAGAACGTATAACTAGTCTTCCAACAACTGGTGTTAGCATTGCTCTGGCCACCTCTTTTCTGGTATCAGTTTTATGGGGGGGGGGTGCACAAATAATCGGAATTGTTATAGTTACGGTATTAGAAAAGAAATCGTTAAAAGGGACATTTCTCCCAGGCTGTAAGGAAGCCTGACAGAAGCTCCATTTACCTACCGCGTGTTGGGCAAAACACTGGGCCCTGGGCCTACAGCTCTAACTGCTGAGGGAAGTCACAGCGTTGAGGGGGAAACAGACAGACAAAGACATACAGACCCATACATTACAATCGTCCGCAGTAAGCCCTGCCCCGAGCCACAGAAGCAGAACAGAGAAGGAAACAACTTTCTCTCCGGGTGGAGGATGGGGGAGAGGGGCAGATCAGGGAAGGCTGCACAGAGGAAGCGGCGTGTGGATTCGTGTTGAAGGAGTAGGAGGCTGCCAGTGAACAGTGTGGGCGAGAGGATCCCAAGCAGAGAAAAGACTATGTGGAAGGAAGTGAGCCACGAAGATGGCATGGTGTAGCCCAGATACTGGGAGGGAGGAGGGGGGAAGGGTGGGACTGAAGAGGGAGCGCCAGGGGAGGGCTTGGCTTTGGGCAGCTTATCTAGGTACCAGAATCATATATTCAGCAAAGCACCTTTCCTCTAAAAGTGCCGGGAGGATAGTGAAAATGCCTTTTACGGGCAGCTTTTCACGCTGAGCAAAATATTTCTTTTAACTTTACAGCTATTTTCCCTGCCTCTTACCTGCCCTCTGAGCTCCAGCCCCTTCTACTTCCCCCCTTTTCCCCTAACGATCCTCTCACCAGACTCACCGGATGTACAGAGGACACATGGGGCTATGACGGGAACCTCTCCACGAACCCGCTCAGACCCGGCCCCCCAGGAGCTCAGAGGGCGAGTCTGTTAACCATCCGGAGGTCTCTCTGCCTGTGCCTCCACCCCACTGTTTCCACCCTCCAGGGCTGGGTCCCCAGTCCTCTCTCTCTCTCACTGTGATTCCACCCCCGAAATTTACAGACAAGTTCAAAGCCCTGTCCCAACCCTGCTTCAACTCACCGTCATCCCCACGCTGTTCTACTCTCCTCCACCTCACGGCCAATCTTCTTGAAGAAAATAATTTCTACCCATTTTATCTGGACTTCCTTAGGGCCCAGCGCACATTTTGTTTGTTCGTTTGCTTGTAGCCTCACAGTAACTTCATTATTTATATTGGCCACAACCCAAGTCAATCGGGAACATTTGCATCTCACCAGAGGTTTCTGGGCTCGCAGGCCCAAGGTAAGCACTCCCTCCCGGTGAAGCTGCTCACGCCCTTTGTGCCACTTCATCTCATGCCATCGCAGCCAGGCCTCCGCTGGGCCCTTGAAACGCTCGGTCAGAAGTGACCGATTATGGTTCTGTCTCCCAGGTGGAGTGTGAGGGCCATTATTACCTTTTGCTCACTTCTGTGTCACTTATACTGTCGTCGGGAATATAATCGATGAACAGTAAATGTGTATCGAATACGCGAACACAAATTTGCTTTAAATTCATTAGATATCATATACTTTCCCTGCCTCTTACCTGCCCTCTGAGCTCCAGCCCCTTCTACTTCCCCCCTTTCCCCCTAACGATCCTCTCACCAGACTCGTCGGATGTACAGAGGACACATGGGGCTATGACGGGAACCTCTCCACGAACCCGCTCAGACCCGGCCCCCCAGGAGCTCAGAGGGCGAGTCTGTTAACCATCCGGAGGTCTCTCTGCCTGTGCCTCCACCCCACTGTTTCCACCCTCGGGGCTGGGCCCCCAGTCCTCTCTCTCTCACTGTGATTCCACCCCCGAAATTTACAGACAAGTTCAAAGCCCTGTCCCAACCCTGCTTTAACTCACCGTCATCCCCACGCTGTTCTACTCTCCTCCACCTCACGGCCAATCTTCTTGAAGAAATTTCTACCCATTTTATCCGGACTTCCTTAGGGCCCAGCGCACATTTTGTTTGTTCGTTTGCTTGTAGCCTCACAGTAACTTCATTATTTATATTGGCCACAACCCAAGTCAATCGGGAACATTTGCATCTCACCAGAGGTTTCTGGGCTCGCGGGCCCAAGGTAAGCACTCCCTCCCGGTGAAGCTGCTCATGCCCTTCCTTTGTGCCACTTCATCTCATGCCATCGCAGCCAGGCCTCCGCTGGGCCCTTGAAACGCTCGGTCAGAAGTGACCGATTATGGTTCTGTCTCCCAGGTGGAGTGTGAGGGCCATTATTACCTTTTGCTCACTTCTGTGTCACTTATACTGTCGTCGGGAATATAATAGATGAACAGTAAATGTGTATCGAATACGCAAACACAAATTTGCTTTAAATTCATTAGATACCATATAGATAGGATAATCTTATTTTTCATGTAATGGGGCATTTATGTAGGATATAGTAACGTATTTAGGAAGGAAGGTAATTCTGGCTTTCGTCGGCTGTCTCAGGTTATGTGATGAATTTGAGAAGATCGCGGAAAAAGCTCTCAGCACCCCTCCAAACACAGCGGAACTGATGGAAATGAAGGTACTGCCTCCAAAGTCTTTACAGTTGTATGTGTATCAAATAATGTTTTTCTCTTTTTTCTCAGCTCTTACAATTATTAACATGATAACACAATAACAAACGCCTCCGGAAGTTATGACAGAGGCTCGAACTGTTCTGCAGCGTTCCTGATGAGTCTGCAGGGTGGCGATGCAGGCCAGCGCTGCTGGGCCGTTCTGGTCTCAGCTGGCCGCTCACACAGCGGAGCAGGGGGTTCTCAGCTGGTTCCCCAGCGGAACTGGCTGAGCAACGGACCCTGCTCCTCCCTCCAGCCCCCCCGCAGGCTCGCCTGGGCGCTCATGACCCTGCGGAGGCACAAGAGCAAGCTCAGCGTCACCAGTGCTTCTCAGGTTTCTCCTCGGGTCACAGTAGCTAGCCGCCCATCGACCAAAGCAAGTGCCCAGAGTCGGAGGGCCCAGAGTCGGAGGGAGAGGATACCGCGGGCGTAGGTCCTGGGAGAGGGGAGTGGTGAGGCTTTTAGGCATCATCTCCCAGGATGTTACTGAGAGCACCGTTCATAACAAAAGGCATCAACCAGGACCATCTGGGCAAACGGAGATACGTGATTACCTTTAATTTTTTATCCATGAAAGTTTAATCCTTTAAAATTTTCTGTTATACTTTGCTGAAATATATTACGTTTTGAGCATAGGATTTATGGTACTGAAAATAGTGGCTATCTCACTTTTACCTTTTTTAATGTTACTCCTTTGCTTGAAGGTGAATAAAATAATATGGAACAACTAGTTAATCATCATTTCATTTTATTCCTTTTTTCATTCTCACAACATTACGCTTTTATGGGATCTTTTTTTTTCTTTTAAAGCAGTCTCAAGATGCAAAATAGATCCCTTTAATTTTTAGCTTTAAAAATATTTAAGCAAAACACATAAAAATCATTCAATTCTGTATATAGACAAGAAATTTCAAAATGAGTTCAAATGATAATGCTCATTTTATTTTATATTTTACATATATGTATATTTATTGATTTCAGAGCAGAGGGGAGAGGGAGAGAGAGATAGAAACATCAATGATGAGAAAGAATCATTGATTAGCTGCCTCCTGCATGCCCCCTACTGGGGAACGAGTCTGCAATCTGGGCATATGCCCTTGACTGGAATCGAACCCAGGACCCTTCAGTCCATAGGCTGACACTCTATCCACTGAGCCAAACCAGCTAGGGCAATGCAGATTTTAAATTATTCATGTAAAGGTTTGTTAAAATCGTTACAACCAACTCTTACATATTAGCCTCTATATTAAAAAGTTCTATTTTTTGAAAGTATTTATATTAGACTGAAGTCCTTAGGGTGTGAATTTATGTGTGTGTGGGAGGAGTTAAATATGCACACATGCATTTTAGAATATTTGCATATTGTGTATTAGTTGTTATAAGACATCAAGTGATACTTGGGTTATGGGTGATTATAAATATAGCTGGAGAGTTTCATAACTGTAAATTCCCTTGGAAAAATAAATGCTGACTATGAAGAGTGGCATTTATTTACCCTCCTAACCGTGACTGGGAATATTAAGGAATTTGGTGTTATTTCCTATGATTGTCTATTGTTCATAGCAACCTTTTACAGAATTAGCAAATGTGATTCCTCAACTGGCATTTGAAAGATTTCTGTACCTTAAAAAAGTTTATTGCCACAAAGGCCGAATAGTTTCTATATTAATATAGAAATTGGTCATTTATTATCAGAAAGGGAAATAAAAACCCCGTTTTTTGACTACAGAAAGCTGATGAACCCAATGACAAAAGGACTGTATTGTCAGGTAGATGTTTTGTTAGCTGTGAAGACACCATGGTTTGCAGCTTATGTGTTTGGAAAACCAGAGAAGAATGCTATGGGTTTCTGGGAAATAAGAAATTTCACATGTGCTTGTATTTTTACCGCCCCCTGCTGTTTAGCAGCGGTCCCGTGCTGTGGCCCCCAGTCTTGAACCAGGTGTCCAGTCCTTTTTAACAAGTCTATAGTATATATATTTATGCCGTGTGTCCTTCAGGCTGTTTTTTGACAGGAGCTGCTCATGAAAACGCCGTCTGTAATGATTGTTTCCCGCAGGCTTATATTAAGAAAGTGGAGACAGTCGACATGATTGAACTGGGACGCAGGCTGGTGGATTCTAAAAACTGCCTCGCCTTCCTCATCGAGTGCACCACCTTCTCCCCCGCAGACATCAGGCTCAACAACAACGCCTTCCAGTGGTACGGGCGGATGGAGGAGATCTTCGACGAGCACCGGAGGATCATCGCGGAGAAGACGGAGCAGTACCAAGACGGCCTCAAGGTTAAATGTTTTCCGTTGTCCTGACATGCTTACGTGCTAACTTTTTCGGTAGCTTTGTCCCTCACCTGTCCCACGGGCCATCCATTTCGGCTCTCGCAGGCTCTACATCGTCGTAGAAGGTAGCGCACATGCTGGAGCGATGGGGTGTCATTTCTTGTTTTTTTTTTCAAGGGAGAAAACATTCGAATACATTGCCCACCCATGACCCTTCATAGAAACAGTATTTATCTCATACAGTCCACAGTGAATGCTCTTTTGAGTTCTTTTATTTTTGTCATTTATTGTCAAAGCTCTCTGATGAAGTGCGCCTGCACGCCTGATAATTGCTCAAACTTGCCTAAGTACTGAGCCTAAAATCATCACTTTTCCCCCCAGTATATATTTTTATTGCTTTCAGAGAGAAAGAGAGAGAGAGAGAGAGAGAGAGAGAGAGAGACATGATGAGAGAGAATCATTGATGGGCTGCTTCCTGCACTCCCCCTACTGGTGATGGAGCTCACAACCTGGGCAAATGCCCTGACCAGGAATCAAACTGTGATCTTCTGGTTCATAGGTCGATGCTCAACCACTGAGCCACACGGGCCCAGCTAGAATCCTCGCTCTTAACATTTACTTACTCTGTTTTTGTCCTACATATGAGATGCTTGGAATTGTCCCTGTCCCAGCCTCATCTCCTACCTCTTCCCACTCCATGTTCTTGACCTTTCAGTGACCCTGAGCAACCCTAGGTCCCTGCTCTCCCACGCCTGCCTGTCATCTCCTGTACATTCCTCCCCCTCCCTTTGGAGCGCCTGCTGCCCGCACACTGCGTGTCTGTCTGTCTGTCTGTCCAGCTCACTCATCTGACTTTCGGAGACACCCTGCGAGTCAGAGCTCAGTGCTGCCTCCCTGCTCCCCTGCACGGTTAGCACCTCTGCTAGCACCTCTCCCCTGGCCTGCTCACCTGGTCACTGTGCTCAGGACTAACTCCCCACTAGACCACGAGCTCCCGGCAGCAGGCTGCTGGGTTTGACCATCTCTGTTTTTTCCCACTGGCCAGCGGGCCTGCCCTGAGCTCTCCAAGCTGCAGTCTGAATAATGGCTTAGTGTTTACAAGTGGGAAGCGAAGGTTCCCAGAGTGACCCTAACAGGCATCCGGGGCCGGGGGGAGAGGGGGTGTCCTCTGGTAGCAAGCCTCAGGTCTTCCCACCACACCTCCAGGGCCGTTAATTGGGGAACATGTGGTTTGGAGAATAATTCATTGAATGAAACAAACAAACAAAAAACACTTCATTTTGAACTGCAGCCTATATTTCTGGTTTACATTTAGGCCATTTCAGAATTTTTTAAAACTTGTAGATGGCATTACGGATAATAAGGAGTAGATGCTTTAGTTACCATATAATCAAATCTTAGAAAACGCCAAGTGGCTCCAAATGATCTCGACTGTATTGTAAAGGACTCTATTCTGCACTGTGTGGGTGGAACTGTGCATCTCTGCTCCTCCCTCGCGGGTCCAGAGCAATACCTTTGCCAGGAAACTAAAGGACAGAGGACAGACATCAACCTAGAAATGTATAAAATAGAAAACCCACTTTCGTGTAACCTAGATTCGACTTTTAAATATTTCATTAAGAACTATTTTTCGGGATTTAATTAGTGCCTTACCAATGAAAATTCTATAATAAGCCTTTCTCATTGGAGAACCACACGCCTGTTGTATATTGGAGAGCGATCGTGTGGGGCTTTTACTTACCTTACAGGCCAGTGGTTCTCAACCTCGGCTGCACATTAGAATCACCCGGGAATCTTTGTAAAATCCTGATTTCTGGGCCTCATCCTCCGGAAATTCTGTTTCTTTGTTACTAATGTTGTGGCCCCACCCCATAACAGACACAGAATTTCCGGAGGATGTGGCCCAGAAATCAGGATTTTACAAAGATTCCCGGGTGATTCTCATGTGCAGCCAAGGTTGAGAACCACTGCCGTCGGACAAGAAAAATAACCCCACAATCCTTTGTTTTAGCATTGCTAATTAAAAAGATATTTGAAGGTCAGAACACAATTAAATAGTTCTTCCAGTTGTTTGTAATAGGGCCTCAGATATCTTTACGGCCTTTAAAATATTGGAGTTTTCTTTGAGTCCCATACTTGACGATCCTATGGGATTTTCAAAGGCTTATAAATCATTATCAGCATAAATTCTTTAGCATACTAAGGAATTCCATCGTCTAACACTTTCTTAATCATTTTGTGCGTTAGAACGTCTCCCACGGATAGCAGGAGGGTAAACTTTCTCTAATTTGTGAATCACAGGAATCTTCATCGTTCGTTTTAAATCCCACCCTGAAAACTTCTGTATATTTTAGATTCCAGGCATCTTCCAGATGGTCCTTTTCTTTATATTTTGCCAATATCAAAATATGTGAGTAATAATTCTGGCAGGTCTTACGAGCATGTAAAGTCTCTCTCGAGGCCTCGGGGCTCTGACTTTCAGAAGGGTAACAGGCGATGCCGTTCTCATCCTGCCAGCTGCGGTGCCAGCGGTTTGTGGAGGAGCTGGAGAGCTACGCGAAGCAGTCGGAGGAGTTTTATGCCCTGGGCGACCTGCAGGACGTGCAGCGGTACCTGAAGAAGGCCCAGACTCTGAACGGAAAGCTGGACCTCGCGGCGGACAAGGTGCCGTGGACAGCGCTTAGGAGGGTGAATTAGTTCCCGGGGAAGGGGGTTGGAATGCATTGTGTTCACCTTTAAGGAGCAGATGCAAACGAAACAAGCTTCACTACATTGAATCAGAGAAGAACATAAGTGGCACAGACAGGTGTAACCAACAAGCCTTCGGGACGTGGCATCGCTGCTTTCGATGGGCCGTGATGGCATTTCGATGGCCTCTGTTTTTTGTTTGAAAGAATGTGTTATATCTCCGTCAGCTTCTCAGCTGCCGTTTTGTGCCATTTAAACATGTGCGTCGTGTGACGGCACCTGGTTGCTGTTGCGTTCTCTCCTCTTCAGTATGTTTTTAAGTTAGTGATTTTCCCCTCCGGCTACTTGGCTCCCAGTGTTGCCGTTTCAGAAAGTGGCTTTCTCATTAGGAGAAGCTGGGAGGGGAAAAGCTAGATTCTTTGCCATGTAAGGTGTTTGACATTGTTAATTGTGTTTTTTAAATATTTTATTATATATGAAATATGAAATAGGGAAATATGAAAACAGACCATATTATGATGCTCTCCCATTTTTCTTACATTGAAAGATTTCAGTATCGTATCAGATCAAGTAATTAGTGTATAATCATCACAAATATGTAAACACATGTTGAGAAAAGAGAAATAAGCTTTGTAGATTTTTTATAACTGACGCCACTGAAATTTTAAATAACCTGCATAATTTATATATTGAGCTCACGCTTTAATTCTATAGATTTCTCTTCCAACCACGCAAATACTCACATATTTCACAACTACTCTAAGAAGAAATCAGTGTTGTTGTTTGTTTGTTTGTGTTTTTTGGTTTTGGGGTGTGTGTTTTTTTTTTGCCTCTTGTTATCCTTCTTATTTTTAAGACCCAGTTCCAGGCGTGTCTTCCCTATGGCAGCATCATGACGGAACTATCCCAGCATGCTCTTTCGTCTCTGAGTGGTAGCATTGTTCTGTACACACTGTTCCTTTTATATTAAACAGCTGCCGATCTAAGACACCTCTTCTAGTGTTTACACTATTATGGAATAATTGCTATTTAACTTTTGCGTACTGATGGCCTGTCTCCTCCGCTGGATTACCGACTCCTTGGAGTTGGAACTGTGCAATATAATACTTAAAATTTTCCCACAATACCCAACACAGTGCTGTATATGTTAAAGTACTTAGATTCTTGTTAATTAAAGAATGAAGCTATGTCCTCAGTATATCTGATGGGCAAAGGCTTCTTTATATATGAAATTTATTTTGCTGCATTAACAACCTAACTAGTCATTGCCCTCTGGAGACGGCAATTGAACAGTTTTTCTAGATTAGACCGAATGTAAGTGTAACCTTAGGGCTCAATGAGGGGTTTTTGGATCACCTTGATATTTTTTGAAACTCAATTTTGAATGTCATTCACTTTCAGAATAACACACTTAGTGCCCATTCTTCCAGATCGAGCAGTTTAATGCCGAAGAGGAGGCCTTTGGTTGGCCACCATCGCTGTATCCTCAACGCAAAAAAATCCAAGACAGTCTGAACCCCTACCTTCGTCTCTATGAAACCGCTGTCGAATTTAGCACTAAATATAGAGCGTGGACAGAAGGGCCGTATCACAAGGTAGATCCAGACCAAGTAGAAGTTGACGTTGGCAACTACTGGCGAGGACTCTACAAGCTGGAGAAGACCTTCAACGACTCTCCCAATGCCCTGGCGATGACGAAGAAAGTCAAAGCCAAGGTGGAGGATTTCAAGCAGCACATCCCTCTCATTCAAGTGATCTGCAACCCTGGGCTGCGCCCCAGGCACTGGGAGGCCATGTCCAACATTGTGGGTTTCCCCCTGCAGCCCGCCGACGAGTCCACCGTCTCCCCTTTCCTGGACATGAACCTGGAGCAGTATTTAGACAGATTTGAAGGCATCAGCGAAGCAGCCAGCAAGGAGTACACTCTCGAGAAGACCTTGGAGAAGATGATTAAAGAGTGGGACTCAATGGAATTTGTCCTTCTCTCTTATAGAGAATCTGGGACATCCATTTTGTCATCAGTTGACGAAATTCAGATGTTGTTGGATGACCACATCATTAAGACACAGACAATGCGAGGGTCTCCTTTCATCAAGCCCTATGAAAAACAAATCAGGTAAGTGACATTTATATGACAATGTTGATACTGTCACCCAAAATCCACACTTGTTTTGTTAACCAAATCATCACCCGTATGTAACGTAGAGTTCTTTTTTGAAATTGATCCTGCATCTCATACTTAGTATTCTAAATAGTTCATTGTAAGGAATGATACCGTTCGTTCGTCGCTTTGGGGCGAGTACTGGTCTCGTGGCTGTCGTCTATGTTCACAACAAAGGTGGTGGGCAATCGGCCTCTACACATTCCTTCTTCTTGCCTACAGTCTGATCTTACATGTTTGACTCTCAAAAATAATTTTGTGTCTGTAGAAACCATAGACTATAAAACTGAAAGTAATATCATTTTCTAAATATACTAAATAGTTTAGTGTGGATAATCCCTAAAAGTCCATTGTCATTTCCAACCCTAAGCACGAAGGAATGCTAGAAAAGTGCAAAAGAATGAAAGTCTGATTTTTAGTCTGGTATTTTAGACATTTGACACAGCCCGTTAAGTTAACTCTTATCCCGTCTGTCAATCTTTATAATTTGTATTAAAAGTTTACATTTTACCTTAAAAAGAGAGTAAATCCAAATCCATCTCCCTTCTTCAATATGAATTTGGTTGACAAGGAAAGCTAACTACGTTATATTACCCTACACTTGGGCCTGCTCCCGCTCATCTCTGTCTCCTGCCCGGCTTCTTATATTTCCTGGCTTTAACAATCTAAAATGACAGACCTTCACATATAACTGATGTGTTAATGTACACATAAAGCTATCCCATTTCTAAGTTCTGTTGCTGTGAATTAATCATTCTTCTTTATGGTTTTGTTAGCTCTTTTAGAATAGTGGTTCTGCTCTTATAGCATAGTGGTTCTGCTCTTATAGCATAGTGGGTCTAGCTCTTATAGCATAGTGGGCCTAGCAGTCAGGGTACAAATCTGCCTCTATCGCTTATTATTTGGGTGAACTTGAACATGGCACTTACCTCTATGTTACTTAGTCTCTTCATTGGCATGTATGTGAGGATGTGAGGATAGAGCAAAGACATACTGAGACCTTAGAACTGTGCTTGTAAAATTATTAGATTATGGTGTAATTATAATATTGATTCTTGAAGAAATCAAGTTATTATTTTTGTTCCTCATATTTAGGAATGAACTGATAACCTATGTGAGTTTTGAAGTGCATCCTTCTCATGAATGCCACACTAGTATATTTATGTAGATTTTTTTAAATGCCAATTATATCTTATGAATTGAAATATTTTATTCTGAAAATAAAGCCTTGATGGGCGCCAATTTTTTTTAAAAGAAGAATGTTAAAGGAAATGAATCTTGGCTATAGCTACCTTTCCTAAGAAGTTCAAAATGTCCTTCCTCAAGAACACCAGTGCTATCGCCAAACCCCTTTCCTCCATGTACACCCTCTCGCCATGGAATCGGGGTGCAGAGAGGTTCATTGTTACAACATATACGGAAACTAGCCCATTTGTAGATAGGTATAGGTTCACATGCATATCTGCCTACAAATAGAAGTTGATGCTATGACTGTACAGCAGACTTTGTAGAACAAATCTAGTGATTTATCTTTGAGACAAACACATGGAAACTGCAGTAAGAACTTTGCATAAAGATTGACAGTCTAGTCGTGGTTTTGATTAGTCGTCAGCCTTGCTCGGTGCGCTAGTGATCAGAGCCACTGTGTTTTGCTCCTCAGAGAATGGGAAGGCAAGCTGCTGCTACTGCAGGAGATTCTGGACGAGTGGCTCAAGGTCCAAGCCACGTGGCTGTACCTGGAGCCCATCTTCAGCTCTCCTGACATCATGTCCCAGATGCCCGAGGAAGGCCGGCGGTTCACAACTGTGGATAAGACGTGGAGAGATATAATGAAAACCCTCCTGCAAGTGGGTAAAAATCTCTGAGAATGTGATTATTTGGTTGAAATGACATGAGTTTTGTTTTTAAAGCAATCCAAATAAGCCGCTGTCTTTTAGACTTGGAGGAGCAAGAAGTATCAAAAGCAAAATGCGTATTTTGTCCTGATTACTTCTTGAGCTCCACGTTGAAATTGTCATTATGTGACGACGTTTGGGTCTAGTTGCGGTTCTTACCGTGTGCTCTGCTAGGAAGGCCTTCTGCTCAGCGCTTGCCGCCCTGACTAGCCTATTGCTCTGTGGTGGGCTACCCCTCCACTGGTGAGCTGCGGTGGAGACGTCTCAGCACCCACCCGCTCAATCAGCAGGCTCCCTGGAAGGACCTAAAATAAAAAAAGGGGAGTTGCAAATATAAACAAGTCCAAAGAGCCCAACCCATACAAACAACGCAGTCAGTTAGTCACCACAGATCACGTGCAGCAGAGCTTTTGATGGAAGTTAAGGAGGGAATTCCATAGAAGCCGGTAACACTGAAAACAGCAGAGCTAACATCAATGCTCCTGGTGCAGCGCCACACCCGAAGGGCCAGGCAGCCAGGTGGGAGGAGCCAAAGGCATCAGACCCCTTCCAACGCAGAGGGGGACCTGACTCCTCTGCTCCAGATGGATTCCTCCTGCCTGAGCCCCGGCGGCTCCTGCCAGCGCTTCATTCATTGACTCACCGTCACAGCTTCCCCACAACATCGCTTCTGCGAAGGAACCGCCATCGCCAGGGAAATGAGGCCGTGGACTGACCCCCATGAGATTTCTAGGCCCCGATGGGAGCGCTGACCTGATAAAAAGTGAATGTCACATGCTGAGGACTCCGCGCTGTCCGCCCCCCGGGAGCGGGAGTTGGGGAGTTCAGGGTGCAGCTCTAGGGGATGCACAGCCTGTGTTCCCAACCAGATCCAAGCGTTTGGCCTCTTCCGTAGGCAGACTGCCTGGGCCCAGGAACTCGGGAGTGAAGACAAGAATGGCGCTTCTGGGTGTGGAGGAGAAGGAACCCTCCTGCACTGCGGGTGGGAATGCAGACGGGCGCAGCCCCTGCGGAGACAGTAGAACACTCTCCCCCTGTCCCGAATTAAAGTTCCAGGCCCGACCGCAGGCATTTGATGAGAAATGCCAACCAACCATGGGTTGCCATGGGCGCTGATGGGAGTGGGGATAACTTGTGAAGGAAAAGAAGACACAGCATTTATATAATTTTCCCTTTAACCCAAACAAGGACAGTTAATAGTTCCTTTCCTTCCCTCCAGGGGACAGAAAGTCATTGAAGTGTCAGGAGCTGTGGGTGGTTTCAATCTTCTGGTAGCTTCCTGCTGTGGCATCTTAGGGTTCTGTCCGAGAGCACAGCCCTTAACACCAGCCGGTGCCACGTGGAGGGAGGGGTGTTTCTGAGGTTCCTCTGTGTCTCCAGGAGCTGCCTCATCTTCCTCCACTGAGCACCCCGCAAACTCTCAGCCAGGTGTCAGGGCAACGCTCAAAGGGACTTCAAAGGCAGTTTTCTTTGACTATGACCAATATTTTACCCGAAGGATGGCAGATTATAAATGTTTATTTTAACTCTACGATAACGGATTGAAGATGTAGGCGCCTCATTCCACCCCTCTCATCCCCCCACCCCCAGATGAGTATCTGTCCGTCCCTCCTTCTCTTTTTTTTTTTTTAAGACACGGTTATGGAAGGGAAATAAGCAGAGTAGTTTCAAGTATACGTGTATTTGAGGCACCATAACGGGTGCTTCGAACATCATATCTAACTTGGTCCTCATGACAGCTTATAGAGAGAGTTCTTATCCCCATTTTAAAGATGAGAAAACAGAGGCCCGGGTCAAGCAGAGGACGCCAGGCGGCTCAGGCTGTAAGGGGGAGTGTGGGTTGGGAGCCAGGTCTGTGCTCTCCTGCTCTGATGCAGTGTTTATTGCTTACCTGCTCACGGGAAGGGAGCGAAGGTCGCTTAGTTTCCAGTCACGGGGTGCTGACTTTCATGTGTGTAGGTCCAGATGCCCAGGTGCATAGGTGACTGCCTGTGTTCACTTAGAACTAGCCTGTTTGGCTCAGAGTCACTGAATTAATCTGGTTCAATAGCTTGCACCTGAGGAATTCAATCTGCAAACCTTACCTGCAAGCTAAGTGTTCCCGGAGGTATTTCTTTTGTAACTGTAGGAGCGAGGAGGAGAAATATGAACTGTCGTTTTAAATAACTGACTTTTAGCTTTCAAATCTCAGGTTCGAAATAGCAACATTGCAATACATTCTTTGGCCGAGAATAAAACAAATACTGTGAATTTGTGAAAGGGATTTTTTTTCACATTTATTAGCAACCATTCAGCCTTTTTCCCCCTCCAACAAAGAAAGGCATGCTTCTCCAGAAGGTGGCGCTCGAAGAACAGCATTTTGTTTGGGGATTTACTTGTACAAGAGTCCATTCACTCCTGCATGGAGTGAACTGCACATTTAAGTGATAATTAAATCACTACCAGATGGTCGGATGGTTGCTTAGGCTTTTATATATACATAGATAATAATATTCAAAATATTATTTTTTCTGTGCTTTTAAAAATGAATATTTGAAAGAAACTGTTAGAAAATATAAAAAATGCCTTTTAAAATTGTATCGCTTTAAAGATAAGTTAAGCCAATCATAGGTTTCATATTTCATCTGAATCTCTTTTATTGAGAAAACAGGTATGAATGATCATTCTTTCATTATTTATTAAATTACTATATTTATAAGTTGCATTGTTACAATTCAAAACCAAAAAAATATAGATCTTTCCTTTTCAGCCACATTCAAAATATATTAACAAAAGCATACTGTAGGCACTCTGGAGTCCCGCAGCCTGAGGCCTCTCGCAATCCGGACCCCTGGGGGGATGTCAGAGAGGTGGGTTTGGCCCAATCCCCGCAGGCCAGGCCGAGGGACCCCACTGCTGCATGAATCCATGCACTGGGCCTCTGGTACGCATAGAAGATCCTTGGTTAATCTCTTCCCACCCTCCCACCTCCCCGCTTCCCTCTGAGATTCATCAGCCTTATCCACGTTTCCATACCTATGGTTTCTGCTCCTGTGTTGAGTGTCTGACCCCTGGTGGTCAGTGCGTGTCATAGCTATCAGATGGTTGGACAATTGCTTAGGCATATATATATATATATATATATATATTCAAAATATTAATTCTAATGATGATAGCTTATTTCCCCATCCTTCTTGTGAGTTCACTGTTCCTCCTTTCCCTCTCCTTCTCCTTCTCCCTCTCCCTCCCTCACCCCCTCTTGCTCATTTTCTGTCTCTCACAATTTAGAATGAGAAATTGTGAGCATCACTGAGGATCAAGTCAACATGACTTTTATATAATTAAGAGAGAGAAGACTACTTTAAATTTTGCATAAACTTTAAATATTTACTTTAAATATTTACTTTAAATTTTGCATAAACTTTGTTTGATTAAAGACATGTTATCTCCGATATAATATGAACATAAAGTTGGTAATAGTACTGTTGAGTTGAGAGTTTTTTCCTTTCCCTTTAGGATAAACATGTTCTGTCCGTTGTGACTATTGATAAAATGTTGGAGAGGCTGAAAAAGTCTAATGAGCTTTTGGAACTCATCCTCAAGGGACTCAACGAGTATCTAGAAAAGAAGCGCCTCTTCTTCCCCAGGTTCTTTTTCCTGTCTAATGATGAACTTCTCGAGATCCTCTCTGAGACCAAAGATCCTACCAGGTAAGTCACGCACCTATGTGACATGTGGCTCAACTTACTGGCTTAATTTTAATGTTTAGAATAAGGTAGAGCATAAATAAATATATAAGTAATTGTTTCTAAGGTAACTTTCTAAAAGGCTACTGTGAATATTATCAATGATCAACTGAAGATAGTTATTTAAAATGTAAGTAATATCAGTGCGTGATATTTTCCCAAACGTGATGAATCTTGGAGTGGCTTTCTCATGCGATCCACCTTCCCCTGCAGGTGCTTCAGAACACTCCCCTCCGTGTCACAGTCAGAGAGGAGAGAGTGTCCTCAGCGGTTTCCAGGGACCCCACGGGCGGGTCCCGTTGTCCTTCCTATTCATCCCAGTGGCTTTCTCTTGCTCCCTCTGCTGCAGTCCTTGCAACTGCCCCAGAGATGGGGCAGCCTCTTCCCTCAGTGCCTAGGATTCCCCTGCCCCAGTGGTCGGCAAACTGCGGCTCGCGAGCCACATGCGGCTCTTTGGCCC